CACATTTTGTTGGCTAACGCGGCCCTCTCCCTACCCCTGACATCGTTTGTCCGCCATATCCTTGTCAATGTGCTTTTTCATCAGAATCCCGATCGTCATTTGGTTTGTTCAATTGGTCAACCAGTTCACTTGAAGCGGACCTCACCTCGCTCAGACACATTTCATTTTTTTGTCACCCTTCTTCTCCATCTCCCTTCCCCCTCCTCCTCCGTCAGACCAGAAATGTTGTCACACGGAATCGCAGAAAATCAATTGCGATACGACTGCTGGTGTTTTTCTTTTATTTCCTTTACTCTCAAGGATAACCGTAATGTGATGGTGATCGTATCGACGTCATAGCATAGAGAGAGAGACATTTAACACACGTGACAGTTGTCGGTTCAGGTGATCAATTCGTCNGTCGTGTAAATGAGGCATGAACTGACAAGTTAGAAAGCACTGAACAGTTGCTTCAATTTGGTCGGGTCTCATCGGTGCAGTGCAAATCCTTCGACCCAACTGGGGATCGAACCCGATACCTTACAAGTAGAACACAAGCACACTGCCCACTCAACCACCGGGCAGCTGACCAGACGGTTTCTTATTTTGAATTTACACGATGAAGCACAATCCATCCTTGCTAGTTTATTGTGGGCATCGCACCCCATTCATCTCAGCACTGGTTTTCAGGGTTATGACTCGGTTGGAAATTTTCACCAGCTGACTATTTGTTTTCGTGTCATCTGTTTAAATAATTGTTCGGATGGGAATACACGTATTCATTATGGTTATGTTTGGTATCAGGGTATCAAATGTTTGTCGTCTCTCAACACTTTCTTACCAGAACATATCGTCTCTCTGGATACGTTCGAAAACACGAGAAAATCACGGATACATACATACATACATATACTGTATAAACATACATACCGGTGCAGAAGTATTTCATGAACTGTCTACTCAAACGGCCGTGGTCGAAATCCTACTTGGCGATACACTCGGTAGTAAAAGATTTCAGACCAAAGACCACTGCGTTGCGTGTGCGATGCACACACACACACACACACACACACACAATCTCCCTCTAGCCGTACACGCGCGTGTCCATCTTTGAACTGATAACAGGTGAACAAGTTCGGCCGACTGTCAATCCATACTGGACTGGGTTTGACCAGTACACAACGAGACATACACGCATTAATGACTACGTACACGTCCAGTACATGATTCTGCTCTGTTCATTTTGCATGATCGTAACCCAGCTTACACGGGCAAAGTTTCCTCACCTATTCGGGTTTTCCTTCATGCAGCCTCGTTTGGTGACATTCTCGCCGTTAAGAAATTTGTCCCATTATCAGTGTACTTTTGATTTATATTTATTTAACACCAATCTTCACAAATACGTTTTTTCTGTCAAGAGCTAAGTGCCATATCGCAGTCCTATCAATCCCAGCTCACTTATCCTGCTGCAAATGCCTATGACTACTGGAGATAGAAAAAACCGTGACAAGTGCCATTGTCGAACACCTCTTCAATACGGGACATACTGTGAATGAAGGCGCTTTCAAGGTGATCTACCGGGTTCCTCCTTATCCATCTAAGGCTGTTTGCCAACAACATTTAGCAACAGCTCAGGCAGTAGCCATCCGTCTGTTTAACCCATCGCTTTGTTCCCAAAAACGATTCGTTAAAGCATTTCAACTGCCATAGCCATGGAGTGAATTCAGTTGCATGACTGGAGCTGACCCCTTTCCATGACCCGTTGACCCTTGCGATTGACCCCGTACCCGAAACCGGTGATGGTTANACTCGGTCCTAATCCCTCTTGTGACACGTCCCTTTCCCATTCACCCACCACTCCAGTTTTGTTTGTAAACCACACATAAACAACTAATTATATCTACCAATCCAATTCACATACACACACACGTCAAACGTTATGCAAATATGATCTGCCTTTTACCTATTTTTATGACTGTATTAGCCAGATGAGGAAGCTATCGAAAACGAGCTTGTTCGGTATTTCGTGTTTTGTTCCCAAATGCCTATGCCATGCTCCAATCAGCTAATCCAGGAAGGTTACACAGTTTCGGGCAATCGAGCAAGTGGTCAGTGATCATTTATGTGAAAGATCAACAACTTAGTGTAATGGAAGGCAGTTCAAAGAGAGTCCTGGTTAGCGACCGAAGCAAGAATGGGGCTCATCCG